TAGTGGGCCTGGAACGGGGTCCACTCAGCCTCGTGAGTATAATTGAGGAGCTATTTCAAGGGAATAGCGGCTCCGGTCTAGAAAATCGAAATTAATGACCATAGGAATTCGTTGCGCTGACCACGCGACTCCCTCTATCTGCTAAAGTTGGCACTAACTTCGTCGACAAGCGGCGGTCGCTCGGTCGGTCGACTCCAATATTCACAGCGAATCTCGAAACAACAAGGCAACAGGTTTCGGTAAAATGTTCTTGGGGGTTGAAACGCAAATGAGGTACTCATGACGTGAGCTGTTCGCCTTCACTCTGAAGAATTAACGAATGGAACATCTGTGCCGCGCAATAGCTCAAGCGGTTAGTCGCTGGCTTCCCACCGCGGCGGCCCGGGTTCGATCTCGGGTCTGGTCAAGTGGGATTTGTGGCGGACAAAGTGGTGCTGGGGCAGGTTTTCTCCGAGTACTTCGGTTTCCCCTACTAATCTTCATTCCACCAGTTACTTCACAATCGCCCTCACATATCATTTGGGGCTGCTACAATAGGCCAGAAGTGGCTGCAGTGCAAGGGACTTAGTCCCAACCCACTAGCAATAAAAAAATGGAACTTCTACGGTATGAAGCAAAAAAACAGGAAATGAGAAAATGGTTCAGCTCTGAAGTGGGTTCTGTTTCTGGGTGATAACACCGTGCAGTTATAAGCTGCATTTACGAAGTCTCGGAGAGATTTTTACTTTCATTGTGGTTACCGAAACGTCGGTATTATAACCTATATACACATTGCGCTATCACCTAGAAATAAGAGAATGAGGACATTCATTTCTGTGATATTTACATTTTCCATGAGGCAACGACTTCTGAATGTAAAGGATAAATAAGGCAAATTGTCTTTATGCTTAACTAATTAAGCATTATGCCATGAAGGCTTATGGGGAGTGGATGTATAGAACCACATTTCTTAACCTCGGCACTAGATACAGGTGAGTCTCTTCTGAATGTAACGATTAAAAAGTGATTTGCGTTTAGATTACAAATGTTAAATTGAAATTAAAACTTTTACGGAGATAAAATAAACTTCTGTTACAACAGGGAAAAATGAAAACATTACAGAGTACTTCGTGTTACTTGCTGCGCCGCAGCACACTGTTATAGTGATCACGCCAAGGACAGGCATTGAGGGGAGATGACTTGCAACATCTAGACATAGTTGGAATAATAATATTAAAACGAATCTTATCATAAATAGGATAGGAGTATAATTCATGTGGCTCAGGTTAGAGACCAGTGGCTAAATCTTGTGAACATAGTAATGAACCTTCTTACATGAAATTTCTTGAGCAGCTGAGCGAATATTAGCTTTTCAGTAACTCCAGCCATGCAATGAATGTATTAGTTAATTGCACAAAATACGTAATTTCCATTGAAAATTATAGTTCCAAGCATCATAACGAATATGTGAAGGAGTTAAATAATTCTGTGTTCTGGGATATAACACTATATCGTCAGGTGCACGTCAACGGACGTTTCAGAGGAACATAACTCCTCCATGTTCAAGGTTCGAAGAATAAGCCATGGAGAAGTATTGCCTGCTGCCTGTTTCAAGCTGGTTTATTGCTTTGTTTATTATCCTACACTGAAGATGGAAGTGATTCCTCCAAAACGTCGGTTAAATTTAATCGAAGTACACGGCGTTATATCCCAGAAGGCAGACTGCTTCACCGTCTTCGCTGTAACAACATCAAATCCTAGGAATGTGTAAACTAGTTGTTCAGAAGTTTGAAAATGCAGTTGGTTCGAAGCCATTACTAAAGTTTTGGAAGACACGCTTTTTACGAGGGAGATGCCCATTATAATAACGAGAGGAACAGAATTTTAAGTGCGTCACAGATGTTGTGTGAGGGTCCTTCTTTCTCTGGCCCCCTCAAATCTACAGGCATTGAAGGTCAGGGATGGTTTTAGACAACATTTACTTTTGTTGGTTTTTTTTTACAGTGTCCCCCTCCTCCCCCCTCGAGGAAACTAAATCCTTGAAGGTTATTCGCCTTTCAGTTGTGAACAGCATCCAAGGCCACCTTGAACTCGGGCCCAACCCACATTATAATCCCATGCAGGAGGCCGTTGACTTCCACGATAACCGACCTTCAACTCTCCAACGCCACCGAACCGAAAGACGCACTGCGCACTGTAGCAACTGATTAGCTAAACCTACATTCAGAGTTAGGCAGTGCCTGCTGACGGGATCTTTGGCAAGATATGGAAACGTCAAAAATTTTCCATTTCCCCACACTGTATCCAAAAGCAAATAAATTAAAATACGNTTCACAAAAAAAAAAACAAAAAAAGAAGCGTTATGCTCAAAATTCTTGGTGACACATGCTTCGAAATGAATGAATATGCACATGTAGGAAAAACAATATTTGAGAAGCTATCAGTTGCTCAGCTTCTCAACAAATATTTGGGAAGCTATCAGTTGCTCAGCTTCTCAACAATTTCCCAACGTTTTACGGAACCTAGAAGTTAATTGCCGCTTTCACAAGAGCCCTCCACTGTTCCGTATCTTCAGGAAAATGATTCCCGTCCATACCACTCCATATTATTTCTCTATGATCCATTTTAATAGTATCCCCCACTTATGTTTATGTGTTCCTTGTGGTTTCTACCTCTAGTTTTCCCATCAAACCTTGTACTAATTCCAATATTATATTTAAGCATCCTGTTGCACTCTATACGATAAATGATACTACACTACATGTAGTGTAGAAAGAACAAGATCAAAGACATATAATATATATGGTTTGCACTTGGGACGGAATTTGTATCATTTATTGTACTAATTCCTCTTCTCTCCCATGCGTGCTACATGCCATTTCATCCTCGTTGAATTGATTATTCTGCACTGAATAAGCAGTCGCGGAGGACAATCCTTCAGCTTATGGGATGGAGGTCGGGCTAACAAATCCTCGCCGTGAAAAAGGAAGATTGCTACGAAGGACAAGGAATCTTATATTTGGAGGCTTTATATCCTATTTACTTAATGTTGGCACATTTTTTTTTTAATTCTATATCCAAAAGTTCATCTGGTGTTTAAATGAAAGCAAACGACTGTTAGTGCAAGGCCCAAGGAAATATTGAGGGGTTCAGAGCCCTGCATCGTATGTGTTCGTAATCTTATGTGTTACTATTTTCGCACTACATAACAAAAGCCCTGAAATTAATATTTCCCAGTCCCCAGCACAAACTTTAGAATTACTGCTTGTTCTCAATTTATAACCTGTTGACTGCCATCAAGTGTACGAATAGGGCTATAAATGCAACTTCGAATTAATGTAAAATGTAAAATTGTACAATAGAACAAAAGGAATATTTGAAATAGCGAGTTTCCGGAGCAGACGTCCACTGCTAGACAACGGCTGGGCAATCATGTTTCTGCGGCAACGAATATTAACAAAGATTTTTTCCTTTACAACAAATAGCAACGAACGTGTCGTTGCCAGGTAATAAGCCGCTAAACAGAATTATTCGCGTGACAACACGAAAGAACAGACGATATATTCGACATTGTGACTTCGTTCCCGGCCGCCTGGCAGTGAATTCTGGAGTAGTGGAGATCAGTCTGAAAGCAGTAGTCTTCACAGAGATTCGGCAGATACGAGTATACGGCATTCAGAAGTTCAATGTGTGAGCTCTTATAATTATCTGTAATTGTAAAGAAGTGCCAAGAAACCCAATCATCAAATCCAAAACCCATTATCAGTCACGCAAGCCCCTTATGCGTGGCAATATAGTGACGTAGAGAAAAACATCACGTTACGTGCCGCGCATCATTGTTGTGACGTAATACTTTCTTTGTGTTACCTACTTTTGCGTGAACTTTCTTCCTCTCCACGTGGATGCGCACAAGAACTTTCACCGAGATCCGTTGTCGTCTGCCCATAAAAGCCAAGAATTACATCACGCTTATGCAATCCGCAAATCTTAAGCCTCGTGCTATGACCTTGCGCTGTTCGTAACAATAAAATGGTTACACATGAATTTGTTGGTACTCATAGGATAAGTATGCTTAAAAATATAAGATGCACAGGAACTGACGTGAGTCTATACAGAGCAATTCGTGGCTCTACTATGAACACATGAGATTACTTCTGTGGTAATTCCAAGCCACAAATTTCCTCTTACATCCAGTTAAACCAATTATTATTAATTATTAGTGGGTTAGCTCAATTCGAAAAGTGGAATTAAAAGGCCTTTACCTAATACCATTATGCAGAATTTTTCTTGAAATGTGAAGCTGGTCAGAAAAAAGTGATATTTTACAGAATCTGAGGGCTCATTGCCATGGCGTATTATAAGCCAATCGAATAAAATTTATAGCACTGTTTCATATACGTAAATACAAGATACACTTTAATATTTTCATTTCAAAACCCCCTTTTTAAATTCTATCATCTTGATTATTTAATTTTTATTAGTGGAAATAATATTTGCAACTTGCGTGTCAAATACAAGGGAGTTGTATTCTGAGGAGAATTCCTCTATAATGGTCACGAAAACGTTCATGAACCCAGACCATCCAAGAGGCCACCACCCTGGGTCTAGAGAACCCTTTTGTTTTTTATTGCTAGTGGGGTGGGACTAAGTCCCTTGTACTGCGGCCACTTCTGGCCTACTGTACCAGCCCCAGATGATAGGTGAGGGTGATTTTGGAGCAATTGGTGGAATGAAGATTGGCAGGGGAAACCGAAGTACTCGGAGAAAACCTTCCCCAGCGCCACTTAGTCCACCACAAATCCCACTTGACCAGACTCGGGCCGCCGCGGTGGGAAGCCAGCGACTAACCGCTTGAGGTATGGCGCGGCCCTAGAGAACCCTTACTTAATTGTAACATGAGTCACTGACCTAAAATGCAGTTGTAACAACGGGTTTCTCACTCTGAAGAATTTTCCATATTAGGAGAAAGTAGGAAACGCTCGTGACTCATGCTTGTAAACAAACACCTGCACTGCACTTACCTTGCACCCCTCACAGGAATGTACACCATAGTGGAAACCGGATGCTTTATCCCCGCAAACACGACACAGAACGGTCGTCCCATCGAACTCTGTGGGGGAAAAGAGAGTGACTCATTAACACTGATATTTTCACACTCAAAATTTAATGCCCCGAATCATTTGTAACTTGTTTTCGAATTTCAAACTTATAGGTCTACAGGATCAGAACAAGTTTTTATATAACACGAATCAATGAACACAGAAATACACATAAAACTGGCAATACTAATAATAATTAGCTGGGATAGCTCAGTCGGTATAGAGACAGGATACGGGCCTGATGGTTGAGGTTCGACTGCCGTCAAGAGAAAATTTTGTCTTCTCCACAGCGCCCAGACCGACTCTGGGGCCCAACCAGCCAGTTCGTACAGGAAGCTTTTTCCTTTGAGGTAAAGCAACCGAGACATGAAGCTTACTACTGATATTTTATCTAGTGCCGAGGTCAAGAATTGTAGAATTATACCTCCTCTTTATCCCCATATATCTTCATGGCGTGATGCCTAATTAAATGAGCACAGGGACAACTTTCCTTTCACTATAATAATAATAATAATAATAATTAAAATGTCATAAGAATTGAAAATTTCTCCACAAAGCCAATGAAGGCCGTGCAGCACTCTTTGTTGACTGGGAACACGATATTCAGTGGCTTATTAAGTGGACGTAGAACTGAAAGCAGCTGATAAGTTAATTTTACAACACGATGCTTTCAGGCTAACAATGCAAGCGATGACCTGCGGCATTTCCGTGCATCAGGCAGGAAACAAATTATGAGAATATCGCATTTAACATGGCGTACACACCGTTAAGACCTTGCAACCATGGAAGATATTAGAGGTTTAGGGACTCGGCAAAGGGTACCTCCCACATGTCATATTTAAGTTGATCCGAAGTTCATATATACCTATCTTAAGTTCGGGTTCCCTGTGCGCTGACGTGACCGCACTGTCCATCATAATGCCCGGTGTTGTGGATTCGGGAATCTGAAGATGGTCCGGTGAGATCATATCAAAAGCGTGTTGATGATGCTGGTTGCTTTCTGTCACAATCATTGTCACCACACTCACAGGCGAAACAATGTGAAGTAATTGGTGCGGAAGAACCACACACAAAAAGCCGGGCAAAAACTTTCTAACACTTTCACCATTCACAATCTTTAATCTATAACAATTTCAAAGACAAATGTTCTCTGTTAATAACACAGATATGTGACGCACCATTTCACTGCACAACACTTCACTTGTGACGGTAGCCGGCACTCTACTGTCATGTGGTAGCACTGTTTCCTTCCTGACGGACCAGCACTACCGTACCGACTCGACTGAAGCCGCGATGGATAGTGAAAGTGCCTCGGTGTGGTGGACTCGCTGATGGGAGGACTTCGAAATGACGATGTCTAGGGGGACGACGACCGTGTGCGCGAGTCGTAAATAAGGCTCATGGTATCTCCCTACCTGTACGACAACCCACGCGATATTCACCCTTAAAATGGTCGTGCATTCGTTTACTGAAAACAGTGATAGTGACTGAAGAGTGAGGAAGATGAGAGATATTACCCAGAAACTGAAAAGGGAAAAGGAGGGAGGGAAATACACGAGAGACCAGAAGTATTAGGAATAAAAGACTATTGCACTCATATATACACACGCTGCCGCAAATATGCCAGTACAGAGAGCGAATTTTCAAAGTTGGAGGTCATTGACAACAATGAAGTTCTCCAGCAGCTGTACAACCAATAAGATCGAAGTCCAAACTTGAGAGCAACGCTGGGATTGGTTAACCTCTAAAACAACTACTACATTCGCTTCCCCCACTACCGCAATGTAGTCTCCACGGGTTCCCCTCTCCCCGCAGCCTGCGCATGGTTTGTACGATACGATGTTTCCAGGGGGCTACGCCCGGGCATGAAAAGGACGGGCGGTTCATCGCTCTCGAACCTTGACTGAATTACCCAGACAAGAAAGCAAAGCTGGAAACACAGAAGAGAGACAAGTGGTAGGCAGATCAGTTCGCTGTTCTGTGTGTGGGATCGGAAGAGAACGCTGCTTGCTGTCCGTATATTCGTGCCAGTACTGGCTTCACACGCATTTCAAGGAGACAGCATATTTTAAACAGTAAAATGAAAATAAAAGGAAAGTACTTCCGGTAACCTACATAGGAAGTGACGTTGGTGCTATTATAACTGCAACTACAGCAAATGTCACTATATCATAAATGTTTCAGCATTGAAATGGAATACTTCACATGTTGAGAAAAACTCTACAGCCTCACAATGTACGTGATCCATACAACAGGATTGCAATGGAACAAAGTGTCTCAAGAGCGAATCATTCGCCGTGCCCCGAAACTACCGATAAGACAAAAATATCAAATTCATTAAATTCGTTTTTTTTTTATCTTTGCGTTTTAGAGAATAGTGAATGAGGAAATTGAAGTAATCTTTATTTTCTTCTGTCTTTAAACAATTAAATTAGAGCAACTAACCCACGCTTTTGAATGTGCTTGACTGAACTAGATCCCATTATTAGTGTAACGTTTTTACGAATTTAACCTATTGTACTAATTTAGTAATCGCCCAAACATAGTATTTTTGTATGAACAATAATTCAAAGCCTCCCATAACGTAAGAACATTATTAACATGGAACGAAGGACAGCTTATTGAACACGAGAGTATTTATTAATGTGAATTACATTAGCTTAGTATCCATTAGCGAATGGCTATGATTTGGAATCACGGCGGAGCGGTACGGAAAAATTCGTCCATCTTTCTGCGGCCAAATGTTATGTCCTGTTTCCACATCGATATTCTTATCCTGACAGGGAGAAGGGAGAATTTCCATTCTTCGTAGTTCCTCCTTTAACAAGTCTGACTACAGTAAATTAATCTTTCATAATTATCCTCACAAGTGTCATTCGATATATACTATTCCAGTTGATTTACCATCGTAAAACAATACTAACATATTAATAAATACATCTTTCATGGCGTCATGCTTTTGGACAGAGACTTGATTCAACGTACGAATTCAGTTGAAGAGATGAACATGTATATGTACTGACAAGATTTAATGCAAAGTACATGAAAATGTTAGTCAACACGAAAATCTTCCCTCGTGCTAGAATTACAAAGTTCAAAGAATTTATTTAAAACGCTCCTCAACAAAGAAAGTCACGCAATTGCTTCAGAATAGAGGTCCATGAAAAGTGAAACATCACTTCATTTTTCTGACCACTTATCACAGAGAGCCCAAAGATACTGAATTAGCTATAACGACATATCTGTCTCTCCGTTTTGGTGGTGCTTTTGAAGAGGAAAACTTGCCACAAGAAATAGCAGAGCTCAGAGGGCAGCAGAACAACGAACTGATAGAACAGAAACGATTTGGACGCACACAGAAAGGGGACCGCACTTAAAATAGAACAGAAACAAACCTTTTATCAGTGAAAGACCGGCCGAAAAATCGGGCAATGAACCCTTGATCCCAAGCTGCGTGTTTACGCGGGTAGGCGGGGTGTTGAAGTGGCATCTTATCGTTGCCATAGTAACACAAGAGGCTGTTAACCCGGGAAACACGGCCATGTATATATGCCCTAAGCGCCTATATCCTATGTGACGTCACACCCACGCAAAAGTCTGCTCGCCATTCAATTGAATAAACACCTCCATTTGTTCTTGAAGTAGTGAGCTTTTAGAAACAAGACGCGTTGCTTCTGTCAGTAGAGTATTGGCCTCTGTGGGTAAACCAGGAAACATTTCCTCTCGGTGGGTAGACATCTTAAACTATCAAATACAAAAACGAGCAAAAGCTACGTCAAAAGGCAGCCGTCAATGAAATGTTTTATTTCCCTCTAATCTCATTTGTTACTACTGAAATGCGTCTCCTTCATCAGTGCATGTCAGACGGTGTCCTCTGTCCCCGGCCTACCCAGCACTGTACACATTTTCGCGTGGTATTCCTGAAGTAGCCGACTGGAGCAACGTTCCTCTTGAGAAGCTATTAGTCGCTCATCTAATCAAGCACGTCCACCACCTTTTGGACAACCCGAAAATTGACCAATGCTTTCACAAGTACCACCCAATGGTACCAGATCAATCCAGTTCACATTTTCAGATCAATTTGTTTAGCCTTTTAAGATGCAGTGCACCACCTGCCTTAACCTACTAAAACGCTGCATTCTGTCCACAGTGTGTACTTATGTGTTCCGTATGGTTCTCAAATAATAGCATTGAGCAGTTGGTCTTTGTAACGGAGAGGTGATGTGTTTCCTGTGAGGTACGATTTGTGTTATTAAATATGGTGTAGATGAAATTCCGCCTTCAAAGGGTTAATATCTATTCATACAATGTCATCGCATGTCTGTGCCTGGCTTCGAAGTGCTCTCTTCTATTCCGGGTATCTGAATAAAATTTTGTATGCATTGATCTTCCTTTTCGTCCGTTCTACACACCCTGCAAATCTCACCCTCCTGGACTGGATGATTCTAATAACATTTGTTTAAGAGTATAATTAACGAAGTTGCTAATTATGCAACTGTCCAAATTCTACTTCTTCTACCCTGAAGAAAGAGCCAGCAGTTCCCACGAAGCATCATATACCAGAAAACCGTAACTTCACCCTTCAGGTTGAGAGGATAATTTGCACACCTACAGAGTGCAAAACAGGGAGCCGGGATAGCGTAGTCGGTATAGCGACTGGATACGGGATGGACGACCGAGGGATCGGAGTTCGAGTCGCGGTAGGGTCAAGAATTTTTTCTTCTCCACGTTGTCCAGACCAGCTCTGGGTTCCACCTAGCCTCCTATCAAATGAGTACTGTGGGCTCTTTCTTCGGGGATAAGGCGGCCGGGTAGTGAAGATGACCACTCGCCTATAACTAGTGTCGAAGTCAAGAAAACATAAATCTATACAGCCACTCCCCCATACACATTCATGGAGTGGTGCGAAAAAGGGACAACCTTACTTTTACAGAGTACAAACCTAAAAGAATTTCCAGAAAATTCCAAGTGGGACGTGATGCCTTCGGGTTTGAGAGACAGGCACGAATGT